ATTTTATTAAGACTTTGTGTTTGCAATTTAATGTGCAACATTTCAGACGTGAGTCTTTTAATGTAATTGGATTCTAAGTCCAATATTTGTGTGGAATCCCAATTGAAACTGTGTTCAGTTTTTAAAAAATGTTCAGTTAAGACAGAGCTACTATCCCGCTTCTTGACGTAATTCATGTGTTCTTTGATCCTTGTTTTAACTTGTCTCTTAGTTTGTCCTGTATAGGAGTAATCACATGACTCACATGATATGCGATACACTACATTGCTTTGTTGGTATTGTCGATAGGATCTTTATGAGTTTTAATAAATTTATTGAGTTTATTAAAAATAAACAAATTCAAATGACACGTACAATGTGTGTCACGCACATGGTAGACACAAGAACGTTAAATAAAAGAAGAAACGTTAAAGAGATTTTTTACCAAAAAATATATTACACATTATTAACTGTGTCCCAAGGCTCACATTGGCCGTTTCCACTTCAAGTTTTTTGTTTTACACAATTGGAGCCTTCTACGTTTATAATGTAAATTAGTACTATAAAGTGCGTTATATAGAATGTTTTATTGTTTTCTTTTAGAACAAAACGGCCGGAAATATCTTTGCACATGTAAATATTGTAAGAAAACTATTTTCACGAACACATAAAACAATATTCTCTCACTGTTATTTTATTTTCTGTATCTTACATTTACATCTGATAATGATTAAAATTTTATATATATATATATATTAGATGTTTTTTTATAAATTATATTGTAATAAAAAATGCGTACTGGTTAGAAACTTGAACGCTACTGTGCGCGCGCGCATTAGTTTAAATTGGCTTAGATGATATTCGATTTCACAAACTCGTAGAATTGAATTTCATGGAAAATACAAAATTGTTTCAGTCTTTAAATCAATCAGTTCTAAAATTATTGATCTGTTTGAATTATATTTTGTCATGTAAATCTCTATTCAGTCAGGTATCTGGTACAAATAAAATAATAACTAAGTATAAAAATCCTATCAAAATTAGTAAAAATATTCCTTGCGTACAAAATTTTTTAGGGGGGGGATATTTATGAAAATATTGTTTTTACAATAGAATCATCAGTAGAAAAATCAAGAAATTAGATGAAACTTTACGTTGTTATATCTGATGAATTTACCAGTTATCAAGGAACTCAAATCCAGTCTTTGGTATAGTCCTTTCCTCATCTTCGTGGTTCAATTGAGATGATTGAAGACTGCTATAAGAACTAGGTGTTTCTAATAAAGCGGTCGATTCATTAATATCGCTCGACTTTGTTCGTGACATCACTACTAGAGTATTCGATTGACTTTTGTCCGTATCGGAATCTCTCACCAAACTTTCCATATCGTCATCAACGTTATTTTGTAATTTCAACAAAGAAGTCTTGTTGATCAGTTTGGCAAATATGCTGTCAGAATGTTCGCTGTTGATTCCGTTTGTCAATAAGTCGCCGCATTGATCGTTTTCGAACAAACTGCTGGCGTAACAATCCGATGGATAACAGCCAACTTGATGCGCGGAGCTGTAACTGTTGGTTAGAGAGGAAGGATTGCTCCTCTGTGTCTTTACCGGGCTGGAAAAGTGTGGCGATTCGCCGAAATAGGTTTTCATCGATTTCAATTTTAAATCCTCGTTAGAATCCAACAGACTCAGATTCATTTGCGACTGGGTCTTGAATGAAAACGGTGAAGAATGTTCATCTCGCCATCGTAATGTCTGTAAAGATATCAATTATGTTTACTTTCAATACATATTGAAAAAAAAAAAAAAGAATTTCTTAAGTGTTAATATCATCGGGAATGCTCACAGAACCAGTTTCATCTATAACATATTTCATTCCAGTTTGTATACGCAATTTTGGATACCATTCGGGCAAGTCCTTAGTTAGCTCCACCTTTTTCAAGGTATACTTCAGAGCAACTTCAGGCTGAATTATTGTCTCGTTGATAGCTTGATTGCGTTCAGCCATGCTCAGAGTATTCCACAGCCCTTCATAGGCTTCTTTTGTTGCGGTTATATCCTCACCTATCCTCTGAGCTATTGAATTTATATTGTAAAAGTATTGTTCCGCTTTTGCGCCAAGAGTACTCGAACTCATCCTGGTATACTAAAAGAGAGACAAAACAATTTATTGATCTTAAAATAATTGACAATTATATAAATTTTATTAGAATTATGTGTGCGCAATATATTATAAACTAATTGACAAAAGTAGTATTCCACTTGTCAGAAATTAAATTAAAAAATTCACATAAATTGTTGAAATTAATTACAACAATTTTTCAATCGTTCACAAATATGTGGTCACAAACTTTGATACACTCACTCCGAGAGATTGTCCGATAATGTACAAACAGAAATAGTGATAAAGAGCTTTTTAGTCACCTTTGGTTACATCGATGTAACACACGCTCACAAAATTATCGATTATACACACAAAGAGATAGCACGGAATGATTCCATGAATGTGCGACAAACACTGTTTGGAAGAACCATAATTCACGTAAAAGTAAGCCTAACAATTGTCAAAGGAAAGATAAATTGTAAGAAGCTGATAATGAAAAAAAACACAGAACCACAACGAGAACTCCAAGAACTTGAACAAGCGAGATTGTGTTTGGTGCTGCCATCAGGCAGTTGATTCGAGAAGAATATGATAGAAATCAGATATCTTCTTTTTTTCGAGTTTGTTTACAAGCGTGTTTGTCACAAAAATTCAACTACAACGACACAACAAAAATTTACATATATACAAAAAGTAATAATAACACAATACCTGTTAGTAACAATATTTTAATTTATTATTGAAATTTGGAGAAATTAAAGCCACAAGAATAGACGCGGAGATGTATTTGAAAAAAAAAGTCTTTGTCAATTTTTGCACCTGTAAAGTTTAATTTGTTTACAAAAATTTACTTCGAATATAAATTACTCTGATATTACGAATCCGCGATATTCCTGCATTTAACAAACGTGATACATCACTGACGAAGAAAAAAAGACGCGGTGGAGAGTCCGATAGAAAAAATAACATGTTTACATCACACTTTTGTCCTTTGAACGTCAAAGATTGTTCGAGAAAAACTGAGGAAACTCTAAAAAAAATTCTCAAATACTAAACTGCAAATAAAAAGGCAAAATAAAATAGAACCTTGGCGAAGGTCGTTCTATACAAATATTCTACTTCAAGTGAAAACAAAGTATAACGACAAGTAATATTATAATCTCTTGGTTTTGATCCTTGGGCAAAGTTTGAACCGATTATGCAAGGTGTTGTGCGAGCAATTAGAAATTGATAATCTTTTTTCCAAACGTTTCGGTTTTTTATTTCAAACCTTCTTCAGTGGACTGGAAATTTGTGTATTTACATTTGTTTACATTGGACGTAATCTGAATAATTTGTACAATTAAAATAATTTTACAGAAACTTAAATAATGTACCTTTAATGGAACAATCCCTCCTTGTTTATCAATGACGAAGTGGATTAAAAAATGTAAACAAATGTAAATACACATAAATTTCAGTCCACCGAAGAAGGTTTGAAATAAAACCGAAACGTTTGGAAAAAAGATTATCAATTTCTAATTGCTCGCACAACACCCTGCATATCGGTTCAAACTTGCCCAAGGATCAAAACCAAGAGATTTTTCATATTCTGTTAAGAACCCGATTAAAAACGACATCAACATCGATTATATAATATTATAAATGGCCAACTGTCGATACTTGTGTATATCCGGATATTGCGACAGAAATATCTATATACAGCTCTTATTCTTTTTTATTATCATACAAATATATACAATATTATAATATTTTTTCCGACAATAAATTTTTTTTTTTATAAATTTAAACAAAATAAATGGCTTAAGTTTTTCCTCGTCAACGGGACACCGGGCCATTTTTTTTTTTTAAACCCATATACGGTTTGGTAGTTTATATTTTGTTATATTTAATTAAACAATTCAAAAAATAAACTTTATTGTACAAATGAGAACTTTTATAGGTAAAAAAAATTGATGACCCAGAATCCGCTCAGGATCTTCGACTAAACTACGCAATCCGCTGTCCGAGGGTTAAAGATGTCATAAAATCATATAAATTTACATACATGTATGTAAAGAGAATTGGTAATTATTTACACCCAACAACTTTTGCACCTAAGCAATGATAATAAGGAATGATAATAAATAATAAATTAAGTATGTGTTATACAACATGTGTGGCTTACTTTTTTTAAGTATATTACAATCAGAAATCTTTGTAAAGACGTTTTTTTTTTTTTTACTATAAATGAATACGTGAGTCGTATTTTTAATCGTCCAAATTAAAAATGATTTTTTTTTTTTTTATCACTTTGAATATAAACCATATTTTTAAAATTATTCTCTTTTCTTGTTTACAAAGTGTATGTACAGCTTACAATCGCCCGTGTTTTTGATACTTTATCAGGAAAGAAAAACAAAAATTGTTTTTCAACAAAAAATTGTCTCTTGGCGGTTCTTAATCTCTGATGTATAATAATATTGCTCATATCGAGAATCGTAATTGTTATGCTCTTTTTCTTCTTCGAAACAAATGAGAAAAAATATATATGTATACAACACACAATGTTGATATTTTTGCGATTAAAGTCTTTTTTTGAATATCATTTGTGTCGTCAGACAGAATGATTCTAATTAAGGTACATCTGATATAAATTCACGTGTACTGAATATGTGTATGTGTAAAAAATATTCATGTTTCTTGTTTCTTGATACTGATATAAATAAACTTCTCATTTCTAAACAATTAAATCTTTTACTTTATTTTTTTTTTTCACTAACACTTGGTATTGATATTTATTATTAATGAAGATTAATTATTAAAATTTTTTTTTTTCATATAAACTAATCTAAATTGTGTCAATATAGTAACATTGGTTACCCTAGTGTTTCGGAAGTATCAGTTTTCATCATTACGCTTACATCATTTATTATAACTAAAATAAAAATACTATATAAATATGACAAAAAGAAAGACTTAAGTTATATTTCTGTTAACAGACGTTCTCTTTTTTTAAATATATTTTTGATACAAAAATAAAATATACAATAATTTGGTCAGCCGACTTTTTGGAAAATAAAAACAATAAGTTTTTGTTCGGTTGACGTTATTAAATTTCGCGTTTTAGACAAAATATCTTAATTTTAAAAAATTAATCAAAAACAATTAAGATGTTTGTAAATATATATATATGAAAAATTTGCAGTGTACATATACTCTAATAAATTGAGAAAAAAAATACTATAATCTTACATAAGAAAAGTTATAGAATAATAAATTAAATTGTATAACTAAATGAAGCACTGGATCAGACAATTAATACGGCTTCTCAATATTTGCTGCAGTTATCTTACGTCGCACGATAACGTCAGAAGCGAGAGGATATACGCTCAAAATTATTGCAACTTACATTGAAGTAAAAGAATATTTTCGTATAACAAACTCAGTTTTGATCGAGAGAACACACTTGTAAAATATAAACTTTAGGGAGGAGAGGCTACTCTTCTTTTGGTTCATCAATAAAACGTCTCAGCAAAATCGTGTCGAAACACTTATCATAGAAATCAATTTTAGGCGTATGTTTTCTCGTTTCGGACGTCGTGATACACTGAGCGAGCATCAAGAAGTTTTAAATATAAAAAAAAAAAAAAAGAAAAAAAAAAAAAATATCACACACATACTGTATTCGCGACCCGCATAAACTGCTTAAATATACATTTCTCAAAATATATGCTCAATAATTTTGCGTATATTGATTTGCATAAGATGACGTCATTTTATAGCAACTTTTTTTACTTAAAAACTATATATCACGGTTGCTTTACCTTGGAAAAAACAAATTCAGCATAGTTTTTATGTGTCATGGTCCGTAGCACTATAACATTGATTAAAAATCAAAATTTTAAATATATGAAATGAAATAATTTGACAAACATGATTGCACATGTAAAAATAGGCCGAACGCGAATTCGTCCACAGTTACCTGTTCGAGAAATGCTTAAGAGGACCGAGACTTAATATAGAGGTAGCACCAAGCGCACCCAGATTACAAGTGCTTGAGTTTCTTGCACCGTCTATCGTAATGATCGGCAAGCCAAAATAACCACCGGTTTGAGCACTTAATTGCGACAATGGTATGTAGCTTTGAATCCCTAGATTTGCTAAACGATTTAGTACATGGGGCGATTTTAAATCTACGACCGGCAAAGCTAATTCCGCTCCACCATTTTGCGCCACAGTGTCGACCTCCTTATGGTAAGTCTGTTTGTGCGTTGATAACGCCTGAGCCGTAGGATATTGAGCAGGACAAAGGTTGCATCTTGAAGAAGAAAGAAACAATTTACTTTTGTTGCCCGACGTAGAAGAAAAAAAATCTTATCTTATCTCACCTGTGAAGCAGTTTGCTGGTCGTACGATGAGTCGCCATGTGCTGCGTCAACATGTCTTGATTTTGGAAGTTTTTGTCGCACACTTGACAGGTTAATAATGCTCTGAAGAACGTAAGTAAATAATTCTCAAAAACACTACTCAACAGTAATTTGTATTGTCTTATTGAATTGTCACATTCAATTGATAAAATTTACTTACCTAGGCGGTCGACCGCGTCTAACCACCGGTGGCCCACGTATTTCCATCTGTGGAGTATCTTGTGTGAGATCTACAGTTGGCGGTCTAGGTGGTCGTTCAACTTGATCGTTAATTTGTTTGTTTGTTTTATTCTGCGGAACAGCAAACTGCCCTTGCTCTTGCTGTTTCCTTTGTGAACTACTAGTTGGTATGATAGAAATAGCAGAATTCAGATTGAGCGCTGCAACATTTAAAGCCTGCTGCTGTGAAGATCTCTGCTGTTGCTGCTGCTGTTGTTGTTGTGATAACTGCTGTTTGTTTTGCTCACTTGTTTTATTTTTATTCGCAGCTGGAGTAACTGTTATACCACGAGCCGCGAGAACATTTGCCACCGCCTTGGCGTCAGATTTCTTTCCTGCCGAATTCGAAGCGTTCTGGACTTGAGCTGGAGCGGAACCTTTAGATTAGTAAAAAAACATACAATACTATTTTTATATTGTAACGCACCCCTTCTGCGAATATCGTTTTACACAGATATAAATGCACAAAACTAAGTTTTATCAAAATTAAATATTAAAATAATACGTAAAACTTTAGCTCTTGCACAAACAAATCTTTTTGAAAAAAAATAAAAATTGTAACCAATTCCATAGAAGAGGCACTTTACGCATGAAATTTGTTTTCGTTGGTTTGCAATGGTGTTTTTTTTTTTTTTTTTTTTAATTACCCTCTTTTGCGCACGAGTGTAATAAACGTACGAATTTAGATAAGCTCCGGAACTATGAGAAAGTCCAAAGACGCTTTTGATGAAAGAAAATCTTCGATCTTGTAATAGCTATTTTATAGAAAAAAGAAAAAAATGATGTAAAACTATAAATAAAAACAAAACATCGAACATGTTGACACAAATATGTAATAATAGAATGTTGTATCATATTACGCATATACACAAAGGTAGACAACCCCAAAATGACAAAATGTTTGAACATTTTTACCGAAGGAATTTTCGTTTTTACCAATGAAAATCAGGAATCACTAGTAAAAAGAAAAACATAAAATAAAAAACTAAAATAATAATAATAATAAAAACAATAACAAAAACCAAAACATGGTTTTGAATAATTTTCACAATATAAATGCAAGCTTACCAGGTTGTCGTACACTTAGAGTGATCGAATCTGTCAGATGTATCGTGGAATCGTTTCTGTTAGTTTGTTGAGTGGTAGCTCCTTGAACATTTTGGATAACAGGCAATCCATCGTTTCTCTTCTGTTGCGCTATAACGTGACAGTCAGCGTCCTCATTTCTATCAGGTAACAGAACATCCATACGTCTCTGTTTGGGCGCGGTGTTATTTTGCGGTGGAACTTGCATCGCTTGTTGCACAGGTCTTTTCATACGTTGACGAGGAACTGGACCGGCAGTTTGCGAAGAAGATAAACGTGGTGTTCTGCAATTATTTGAAAGTATCGCGTTCAACAAACACGTTTGTATCCACGCACAAGAGATATATACGATTACCTGCTGTTTTGAACAACGGGTGGCGACGGATATCTTCCACGTGGAACTTGAGACAATTGTGGGTGCATTTGCGGAGGAGGCGCGGCCATTTGAGGGTACGGACTCGGATACTGATACAAATGCGCCATATGCGGAGGATAAGGTAAACTTTGCGGACCAGGTACTCTGTACAAAGGTGGACGTCCCGGCGGTTGTACGAAGTAATTCGGTCCGGGTATCATAGTATTTGCACCTGGAGGAAGACTAGGAGGCATTTGCGTCTGTGGAAGAGGCATACGTTGGACTTGTTGAGCCAATTGCTGCACGGGCGGTGGTAACTGTTCAAAGTTTACAGGCGCTATTTGTATCTGTTGGCTCGTAGCGCCGCTAGTTACCGCTGTCGCATTGTACGCCGACGAATTAGTCTCATGAGGTGATGTTCTACTAAGCTGTTGCGAACTATTCGACGATGTTTCCACGGTTGTGGCAACGTGAGGCGAGTGCGCAGCGGCATTTAGTTGAGGTGACGTTCGACTCAAATGTGGCGAATTTGATAACTGATGAGGTGACAATTGACTCACACTCGGGGAGAGTGGAGTACCGTGCATCTGCGCTCGATGTACCGACACCTCCATTGGCGTGTGAAAAATAAGGCTTGAACATTCCGGGATATTACATTGATAATGACCAGCTTTACTGCGATGTTCATCCAAATGCGCAATATCCTTAAATTTTTCGTTACAAACGCGACACGTATTGACGGTTTCTGCTAATTTCTCAAGGGGCACATACTCCGCCGTCTCGTTGCTTTGCAAATTGCTCGATAACGAAACCTCATTCGGATTGGAACGTCTCTGATGTTCCATGAGAAAATTCTGTAGCAACGAACCAGCATTCTCCATGTTGGTGTCACCGGTATCAGCCTGTTGCTCGCTGTCTTCTTTGTTGGAATCTTCATTGTTCTTGCTCGATAGATCGGCTGATAGTTGATTCCAATTAAACTCTTGCGTTTGTTCTTCAGATTCCGCACTTTTGTCATCACTATCGCACACCAAAGCGCGTTCCGTTGCGTGATTAGAAAATGTGGAAGACTTCGGGATAATGCTGATAGAAGGATTTTGTTCAAGTCGTCGTATCTTGTCGCTTTCGTAATCATTTTTGTCATCTTCTTCTTCGACAGATGATTCGTCAATCAATTGACTCGTCGACCTTGAACTGCAGAAAGAAAAAAAGAAATCTATCTTAATCTTGTTTAATAAAACAATGCAGTAATTAAAATCCTTATTATTAATAATTAAGATCTCTCTTTCCCTCTCTCTAATATAAATTGGAAATTTATTATATTGTCTCATTCCCTACATGTACAATTACATAAGTGTCACATATAAAATTTTTAGTTTGTTGCAAAGTGACACTTGGAAAATCATGTTCTTTGCGGTCGCCAAATATCAAGAAGAAATATACGTAAAATAAAAATCTGAAACCAAAAGAATTTCTTTACTAGGAAAACATGAAGTTTTCAACTTTTAAACTATTGAAAAATATCCTCCAAAATTCTTGTGGTAAAAATTACAGGATTATATGTGAGGAGCGATGATTATATAAACCTGAATATCGCAAAAAATATCAGGTTTTGAATCAGTGATAAATAGAGATTACTCTCGAGCTCTATAAAGCACAACATCCTGCAAACGGCTCTTCGTGTCCTTATATTCACATATCAAGTTTTGTTTTTAACATAACTTTTCATAATAACAGTCCTTTGTCCTACCTTGATTGTTCGCCAAGTTTCTTTAACTTTTCAATAGTTTCTCTACATGTTGCTTCCAAAGCATCTGTTTCCTCATGATCCTCAGATTCAGAAAGTCTCTTCTCGGAAGCGTCATAGTTTTCCACAGGTTGAATATCGTCATTATTTTGATCTTCCTTCTCGGATGGATTTGCCATATCACTTCCTACACCTGAATCACTTTCGTTAACATCTATGGCCGATGATCTTTCATTTTCTTCTAACGAATTATGATTATCTGGATGAAATTTAATACCATTGTAGTCATCCTGCAAACAAAATCCATTATATATAGAAAAAATGTACACGGAAGCTTTAATCTGTCTCACACCATCATCTCTACACTCACTTGTTGGTCCACCATCACGTTCTCAAAAGTTTCGTCAATAGAATCTTCTGTTGCCTTGTTGTTTCTTTGATCATTTTCCTTAGCGCCTGCCACGTCTTTGTGTTGATAGTTGCTTGTGTAATTAAAATTATTCTGCACCACGGTGAAGTCTTCCGACTGTGAGGATTTCTTCAGTTTGAGCTTGAGAGAGTCGGCTATGTTCTGTTTCTTTAGAGTCAGTTTGAGCGAGCCCTTTGTCTCGGGATCCAACCAATAAGAGTCGTTCTGCTTTTGCACCTTCAATACTTTCGGACTGATCACTCTCTTCAGAATAATACGCGGTGACTTGGTCAGGTGAGTGTGAATATGTATGCGTAGCTGTTTCTTCGTCGCGAATTGCTGGTCGCAAATACCGCAGTCCAGCAATTGTTGTTGACCGCTCAGGCTTTCGTCCAGCGAGTTGGGAGTGCCCGCACGATTGTCTGAAACAGAACACATTAGGTCCCCGTCATTACATCTCTCTTTATCAATAATCGAGGTTACATCTCGCCGATTTGTTGTATCGCGCGCATTATTACATAGACGCGCGCGCGCGCGCGCACCATCATGTTGCGGTGCGTGTAAAAAAAACCTTACATTCTGTGTGCGCAGAAGTTACATCGTAACGTGGAGGATAGGGAGTTAAGTGCGAGACGGTACATGCACAAAAAAAAAAAAAAAAAAGGAAAACGGATCATCAAGCAAAAGCAACACACCGAGGGGATCGTCGCCAACACCGGGGTAAGAGAGATTGATTGTCCCCGCCTATGGGCGCTCGGCGCGTTGTCGGCGAGTCATCCGCGATTTGCCGCGCTTTCCTCCGCCACTGTCACAATGCTCTTGTAGTGATGTCACTTGATACAGCAAACAGTCGCACGGGCATGCGTTCACGACGCACGCGTTACATAGGGTAGAACAGAATCTACAGACTATACGCGGATGCGCGTTACATCCGCGGCGTGGCACTTCTCGCGGGTGCGCGTTTATATATATATATATATATATATACACATTTACACAAGAACAATGTAAACAAATCGACGTGCGCGCGATTCCCGTCCTCAATTTTCTCGCGGCTCCGGGACCGGAGCGAATGCAGCCGCGCGCAAAATGGTTGATGTCGGGGAATAATATAGCATACCGCTTTCGCCGCGAATTGAAAACACGACTCGCCGAATCGATATATATATGTATATATATGTACGGCTAAAGCGCGCACCGCATTGGCCGGTTTCGTACCGACGCGCGCGATTTTCCCGCCACCGATTGGCTCGACGATTCGACATACGCATTTTCATACGCAGCGTTTCTCACAGATTGGGAAAACTCATTTGCGCATGTGCTATCTACAATCCTGTTTTTTTTTTTTAATTGTAAGTGTAAAATATACATGTTTATGTACGTTAGGAAAAATACATATACGTATGCGCGTTAAGAAAATGCGTAAAAAAAGTTGATTCGGCGCGATATGTGATCTTCAATATATATGTATATAAAATATGTATATAAAATAAATTTTTTAACATATATATATATATGTATATATATATATATATATATATATATATATATATATATATATATATGTATATAAAATAAATATATATGTATATAAAATAAATTTTTTAACATATATATATATATATATATTAATGACCACATATCGTGCATAATCAACTCTTTTATATATATATATATTTACATTAAACAAATTAACGCCTTTGTACGTACGCTAAGTTTCAACAATGAAACTTCGTATGAAAAAGTTGCTCTCTCATTGTTGAAGTGTTAAATATTCGTACATTATTAATGCAACTTCATATAAGTACTCATTATTGAAAACCAATATATACATATGCACAATAAAGTCTATTATAATTTATAATTGTGCAATGTCATAAATAACGCATTTACTTGTTTGACACCTTCTTTTAAATGCTGAAACTTCTTTGTTTAAACTTTCCATGTGTTTTGTAATTCAGATAGAAAATATTACAAAAAAAAAAAAAAAAAAAGATCTCTCCTTTACGTTTATGCTTATGTAACATAAATTATTAAAACAAAAATTCTTGGATTTACTTAATCGTAAGATTTAAAAATAAAAAATTGCGATTAAAAAACTATTAAAAAAAACTGAAAAATAAAACATGGTACAACCGTTACTGAAAAATAAAATTTATCGTAAAATTTAAAAATAAAATTGCGATTAAAAAACTATTTAAAAACTGAAAAATAAAACATGGTACAACCGTTTTACTGAAAAATAAAATTTATATTAAAGAGCATTTCTATTTAGCAGGTTTGGATATAATAGAAATAAATAAATAGAAATGTGGGTGCGGTAGTTTTGAGATACGCAAAAAGTCGCGCGATAAGAGAAATTATAAAGCACCATTACAATAAAAGAAATTTGAGAGAAACATTGGGCGTTTGTGAAATATTCAAGTTTTGAATGTGTGAATGATTTCGAGACTGTTATTCACAGTCAGATCTTATATTTAAAACTCTTATGTTTATCTTGAGATGTTGTACGGGCGGTTTTATTGACTACTACAGAGCATCTCAAGATGAATTAAAAGCGATTTTAAAATATGAGATTTGACTATAAATACCGGGTTGTTTCAGACTTTTAATTTTCATTTTCTTACCGTTTACGTTCATTTTTCTATTTCTTCTTTCGTGCCCCGGGGTGTGTCTAACAATACACAAATTTAATTTTTGACGTATATATAAAAAAACATGTGTGTATACTCCTGATATTGTTACATAAGTTGCACTACTCATGCGTAAAAAAAAAAAAAAAAACGATTTTCACGATTTGGAAATATTGCTCACATGCTTGCGATGAATTTACGAAAGCGCAAAAAAAACTTTCTGTTAGAGAATTAAAATTTCTTTAACATGAATTATTATAGTTAGATTTTTTTTAACCATAGATCATTTATCTTCCTTTGATATAATCTGAAAACAAAGAAAAAAAATCAAATAAATAAAATTTATAATTTGTTATTAGAGAGATGAAAAAAGACATATTATCTGAAAAAAAAAAAAAGAGAGACACACAAAAACCGAATGCAGGAGCTTTAGAGATCGACATTCATTTGTAAAACAAAAGGAAAGGAGGGAGAGAAAGAGAAAGAGAAAGAGAGAGAGAAAGAAAGAAAGAATTATAAATGATATCAAAGTTCACACAAAGTGTCTATTACAAACATCTATATCATAAGTACAAAGTGTTCTAACAAAAAAAAAATATATATATATATATATATATATAATATATATACATATATATTTTACATATATACGTGTTTCGCACACCGTACTGCGATTGTGTATGATTTACATAAAGTATAGAATACAACATATTTACATGCATATTTGAAAGTGCGACAAAGAGTTCGAAGGTAAGTTTAAATGCGCATATGGATTAGGTTTGTGTGTGAACTACTTTTTTTTGAGTTACGGATTTTGCTCTCCTAAGATAGTTAAAGGAAAAATGCGGAAGACAGCTTCGATCATCTTAATCGGTTGATTAAACTCGCAATCGGCGGAATTGAGCAACCGCATTGGCAATTAATCAAATTGGCCAATTGTAATTGAAGGTTCAATCAACGAATCAAGTGAATCAAAGTCTCGACCCAAAGACAAAGAAATGTTTTTTTTTTTTTTTTTTTT